TAAATCAACGTACGCGAGATTAGGAAACCTAGAGATCAAGCGACCCGATTCGAGGAACTCCCAATCGAGAATCTTGATCGAACGAACGAGGCGGCCTTGGAGATTGAGCCAGCGCTTGCAGACGAGGCAGTTGGATTTCCTCTGGGAGTCCGGCAGGAAAGACAGGATCTTCAGGAGGATTTCGTCGTTCAGGAGGCGGGTTCGATCGACAATGTCGGATAGATTGGAGATTATGAATGTCTGGAGCTTGTCCTTGGATAGCTTCGGAGACGGAGAGGCCGGTTTGGAATTGGAAAGGGATACCTTGGGAGTTTTGGGGGCAAACGTACCTCCTCCTCCAGAGAGAGACGGGAGTTGCATAGCGAAGACGACATGTTTCAGTGGCTTGGCTACGGAGCCCTTGAGCCATCGGTCGGTCCACGCCTGTCCCCTGCTTTTCTTTTTCTTCGCCGGCGTCGTCGATTTCGCCTCCCGTACAGAAGCCATCTCCGGCCGTTGGCTATGGTTTTCCCCGCTTTTCGTCGCCGATTGGGTTCCCTCTCTGCTCAGCCTCTGGTATTACTCGCAAAATTCCAATCAGCCTCTGGTATCTTTTGTTTCTCCCACTTGAGACTATGTTCTCTGCTGCGGTTCAGATGCCACAACAGAGAGTAGATTCAACGAGTAAGAGATACCGTTCTCCAAGCTCTAATCGGCCACTAAATGGGATTTTTTTGTGATTCACTTCTTCTGTCTCCTGTTCTATTCTACAATCTAACACCTCTCTCTGGACCTTTCTCCTGGCTTTTCTGGTAAGACGCGGGTTATGGGAATTGCGAAAGAGCGGGGAATGGGGATGAAAGAGTTTGAAGACGGACTGAGAGAGAGAGAGAGAACGGGAGATTTGAGAAAGATGTTGCCAAAAATTTCCCCTTTTTTCAATAATCATGTTGCCAAAATAGTATTTATTGATTGTAATTTATATAAATTGATTTTAACCAAGTGGGTATTGTTCTTAGGATAACCTTGGAGAGGAGGGACATGTCAAGTATCCATTTGGGATCATGTTTTCTTCTTAGGGTTATTTTTGGATGTACAATTTAATTTCGGTCGTAATTTTTCATTTCAGTTGGAAAATACATTTATATGTTTGAGATGGTTTCGATGGTAACTCATAAAATTGGAACAGAAAACCATTATTTAGGTTATTTATTTTTACAAATAAATGATGAGTTACTTAGGCATTGAACTCATAAGTTAATAATGAGTTTTTACTGATACAGCAGCAGTCGATCCTCATTAATTAATGCCGTTCGTCAGTTGGTAGAATGGTCAACGCAATGGTTAGTGCTGTGCATTTCTCTATCGTCAGATAAAAAATATTTTAAAAAAAAAAATTACAAAGAAAAATATGTTTTAAAAAGGTACATGGTGGGCGACAGAAGTTTCAAATAGCCGTTGCAGGAAATAGCCGTTTTGGGCCGTTGCAGTGTGATGGGTGGGACCCAGGGGAGTTTCGATTTTCGAAACTTATAGGAGAGAATGACCCTACCACCAGGCCCAGGACGGCCGAAAACCTATTTTACCGAAAGCCCAAGCTGAAACTGAAACCCGGTCCAACAATCTGTCCTTTTAGCATACTGGGCCTAGAAATTGAGATGCTTGGGCTACAAGAAAGCTGCGACACTGCTATTATTTAAAGGGAAGAACCCCAATGCACCAGAAACCCTACTGTACACAAAATGGTAGGGATGGCAATTTACCCACCCATGGGTATTTTTGCCCAAACCCATTTATATCCATTTATATGGGTTGGGTATGGATTTTTTCTATATGGATTTGGATAATGTTTGGTTGGGTGGAGTTGGGTTTGGATTTTATTTTTGGGTATGGATTGGGCTTGGGTACCCATCTCCTTGGACCCACCTGTATATATTTTTTCTATTAGGTGTTAAAATGTAAAGCAAAGTTTTTAATGTACTAAAATATAATTTTCCACATATGATGTTGAACCTATTTGTATCTTCTTAAAAACTTCAGGTACTAAAATGTAACTTTGGCCAAGTCCAGCTGCTTCGCCGGTGCCGAACGCTTCGCCGGTGCCGAACGCTTCGCCGGTGCCGAATGCCGGTCTACACCCCGCCGGTGCTCTGCTCGCTGTTCCCCCTCAACTGGGTCGGGAATCGCCACGGCTTCTCCGAGCCCCTTCTCGGCGTTCAGGCGATGGGTGCGTGCCGCGAACTTGAGCGGCGCTGCCGGCGACGAGGAGAAGAGGGCTCTGTTTTTGGGCGGGGAGAACAACACAACAGAGGATAAAGCAGAGAACTGGACTATCTAAAAAAATCCATCTCCGATTAATTGTTACAGAGAAACGGAGGAAACGATAGCAAAAGAAGCTGATATTCCTTACCCACCGATCGAAACCTTTCATATATCAACCTACATATTTCTTACCCACCGATCGATCTCTGTTAATAATTAATCGACATGTCTCTCAACTGCAGCTCACCAATGGACCCTCGATCCCAATTTGCAGTACGACTTCCCAAAGATGCCTCCATGGAAATCATCATGTCACCTAATTCCCAGAACCAGGTCTATCTGTATGTTCCAATCTCGATCGGCTGATTTCTGATCTCTTATCTTATCTTGGCCGATTTCACTCCATCTGTACTGTAATGCATATTATTATATTCTCCTCTTTGATTGCCAGTTTGGCTCTGATGGTGGAGATTGCTGCAGAAAGTGGAGATTTCGAAAATCAAACCAACGAAAACAACTCAAGGATGGTTCATGGGGTTTGCAGCTTCCTTGACAGTCGCAAATCCAATCACAACCCTATAGTCAAAACACCATAAAGTCCAACCAGAAAGTCAAACCAACGAAATCTAATGTCGATTACAATCAAAGATGAGCACAAAAAAAACCCGCAGAAGAGGGAAAAAGTTCTCTTCTTTTCAACAAAATGGGGGAATATCCATCCATGCCACTCACGACGTAAACCAACAACATACATAATACCTAAGATTATCAGTTCGTGCTTCAGAAAAGCGCAACATCTTTCATAGAAAACAACTTCCCTAATAATAACTTAGATAGATAACTTCAGATACAAACTCCCAAATCCTTTCTCGGTCCTCATATTCCATAACTTGTTCATCATCACCGCCATCGTTGTCACCGAATATGGTTTGAGTCGAACCATCAACGTCTGAAGAGAAAATGGCTACACCTACAAAATGACAGCCAACATGCATTAGATTGGTTGCATCATAAATGGGACAGCTCAAGACAATTAATGTCAATCACATAGTTAAGGTGCTTAAGTAACTAATCATAGGAAAGAAAGCATTGCAGTTAAGGCATTAGAGAAATGGATGCTCATGCATCAGAGAACATATTAAACAAGTTGTTTCTTACCCTGAAGTTCATTCCTAAGCCAGTTCTGGGTGCACATAAGAGCCTCCACAGTCGTGTCATCAAGGCGGCTACGATGAGGGTTCAATAATCTTCCACTTGTGCTAAATGCAGATTCCGAGACAACTGTTGACACTGGAATGGCTAGAATGTCCTTAGCAATCAGCCTTAAGGTTGGATATTGTAGGCCATGGTTCTTCCACCAAGATAAAATGTCGAACTCTTCGCTTCTTGGGATCACACCATCTCGCAAGTATTTGTCAAACTCTTCTTTAACATTCCAATTAGATCTACCAACATAAGAATCAAAGCTGGCGAGAAACCCAGAACTTGCAAGTTGATGTGTCGATGAAGAAGAAGAAGAATCCATGCTAGGTTCTGTAGTCTTGTACTCACTCATAAGATCATAACAGAAGTCTCGATTCCTATTAAAATGAAAGGTAGATGTGCCAACATAAATCTTGGGAAAGGCCCACTCTAATAGCTTCATCTTGAACCTAGGATCCAATATAGCTGCAACAGCCAAAGTTCCATGGATAACCTCCCAATACCTATTGAATTTATCCAACATATCTTCAGCCATGGTTGCAATAGTTACATTTGGACTCAACTGCCACTCGTTTAGAGCTATTTTAATCTCACAGACCTTAGGGAAAAATGTATTAGCCGTGGGGTAAGTAGTTCCTGAAAATGTCTTTGTAGCTTCATGAAACAACTCTAGCTTCACACATAATTCAGATGCCATATCCCATTCCTCTTCACTTGGAAAACATACATAATCTGAATCTCTAACAATCAAACGATCAAAGACATCCTTATATATCAAAGCAGTTGATAGCATAAGATACGTAGAGTTCCAACGAGTCTTACAATCAAGCACCAACTCTCTCGAACAATCAATATTTGTAAGTCTGCTTAACACATCATTGAACTTTTGTCTTCTCTTAACAGATGAAGTCCAATACACAACACTATCACGAATTCTCCCAATGCATTCCCCAATGACAGACAACCCATCTTGCACAATTAGGTTGAGAATGTGAGCAGCACATCGCATATGAAATATAGAACCATTTAGCAACAACGTATCTTCTTGCAATTTTCCTAAAAGAGCTCTAATCATAGCATCATTAGTACTGCAATTATCCACCGTCACTGTTGAAATTTTTCTCTCAATGTTCCATTCCGTCATAGAACTCAATAATACAGCACATAGAGCATCCTTGGTATGTGGAGAAGGAACGTGGATAAAACTCAAAATCTTACTCTGAAGGACCCAAGCATCATCAATAAAGTGGCCAGTTACTACCATGAACCCTCTTTTCCTGTTATTCGAAGTCCACATATCAGTGGTAATCGCCACCCTACTGCTGACTTTTTCTAACTCATGCATTACATTCATCTTTCCCTTTTTGAATATCTTTAAAATATCACTCTTGATTGTATTTCTACAAACCATTTGAAACAACGGTTGAAGAGAATAGGCAAACCTCCTAACCCCAACATAATCGACAACCGATAGAGGAAATTCATGAAGAACAATCATATAAGCAAGCTCCCTTCTACTAGTTTCTTGGTCAAAAACAGCAGGACTCGAACTTCCAGTACCAATTTTCCTTTTCTTACTACCCAAAAGTCCACCAACCTTGACTAGATCAACATTTTTTACTCGACATTTTAACAAATGATTGCGCAAATGAGAAGTTCCAGAGTTGGATTCAGCCGCAAGCTTTTTATGGCAGTATTTGCATTCAGCTTTTCTCAGCCCACTAATTACAACTCGATTATAATCCTTCCACACTTCAGACCACTGCTTCCCAGAAGACCATACCATACGACTAGAAGACACACTAGGCTGTCCATTACTACTCTCATGATTCATAGATAGACTATCATCATTAGTTTCTGAAGCCATATTTCCCTAGAAAAATCAAGCAAGCAACAAACAATCATTCAAACTAGTGCAACAGTACAATCATTCAACCAAATCAGGATTAAAAATGCTTCAAACAGAGACAACAATACACATCCCAATCATTCACCAACTAACAGAGCAATACACAGCCCAATCATTCACCAACTAACATTTTAATGAGACCTAATTCAAAGCAAATAAAAAGCATAGCCTACTTGATAAGAATTCGTACCTGGATGCGTTTCTGTATTTCAGCTACTGAGAATATCACAAATAGACCAACTGTATTTCGTCTCATCTCTTCTCTCAATTTCTCTTCAAATCATCACCGCCACCACCACCTCAGCTCAGATTTCCCCTCCACCTGTATCATCCGATTCAGATGCTGCCGTTAGACTAGCCACCAGATTCATAACCTCTACACTTTCACCTGTTTGGCTCCCGAGAAAACCCCAACAGACGAAAACGAAAGGGAGAAAACCGACAAGCAAGCACGCACCTACTCTGTAACCGACCTGATCGAGTCGACTCAGCTTCCAATATGCGTCTTCTTTACACAAACTCCACGGGATTGAAGCTAGCAATCTGAGCCACAAGACATTTCAGCGACAAACCCTCTCTCTCGTTTTCCTCCAGGTAACTTCAATTGCTTTCTCGACTGGGAGCAGGGATTAAGATCTGCGCACAATCGACGAGCAGCGCCAATTCCAGTAGGGACTTTTCAATTGAAAAGCAGCGAGAAATGGAAGGTGAAGGAAAAGAGTTTACGCACCTAATTTCAGGGGACGACCAACTTCTTCTGGGGTCACAGATCGACGGCGGAGTGGGTTTTTAAGGAGGAAGAGACGGTTTCAGGGGACGAAATCGGAGTGGGTTTTTGGGGAGGAAGAGACGGTTTCAGGGGACGAAATCGCAGTGGGTTTTTGGGGAGGAAGAGACGGTTTCAGGGGACGAAATCGGAGTGGGTTTTTGGGAGGAAGAGACGGTTTCAGGGGACGAAATCGGAGTGGGTTTTGTATCACTGGGCGGCGCCGCGGCGGCGATGCGATTTAGCGGTCGGATGGAATGCCGAAATCGAAGTGGTTCGGGGCGGCGACATTCGAGGCTTCGAGCTAGTGGCGGTGGACTGGCCGGGGCGCCGACGTCGTGGCCGTCTCTGTTTGGTCAGCCGGCTCGTCGTCGACGAAGGATGGGTAGAGAAAAAGAGAGTGCCGACTCTCGATTCTCGACTGAGAGGAAACGAAGATTTTCTTTTTCTTTTTAGTTTCGTTTTTCTTTTTTTAATTATTTGGGTTTGGATTTTTTAACCCAAGTTCATGGGTAAAACCCAATTAAATCCAACATAATGGGTATGGGTTTTGACCCATCTGACTTTATCCATTTACACTTTAATTGGATTTCAGACCCAACCCAAATGGGTTGGATAGTTACAAACCCATGGGTATGGGTATAATTGCCAAGCCTAGATCGAACCAGCGGGTGAGATGCACACAGCCAAAAACATGAAAGAGACCGCAGCAGCGCACCATCATCGGAAAAGCCTAAGATCGAGGTGCGGCCATTTGCTGCTTCTTTATATTCTCGTCGTGTCTCACCATGCTGCCAACATCATTCAAACAAACACAAGATCAAGCAACAACGTTTTTTACCGAGATGATCGGAGTTAAGATCAAAACTTTCTCAAGTTAGAAGCAGCGTTTTGTTGTTAACCTGATATCGTGAGGAGTGATAAATATCCACTGAGCTTTGTGACTTAGCGCAAAATCGACCAATGTGTCCAGGCTGATTTTTCGACTCACCGCATCCTGAATACAGATGCAGAAGATGCATCCATTTGTCATAACCATAAAACAGAAGCATAACATGAAAATGGGAGCCCGAATACTGAAAGCATACGTGATAAGATCCAAAATCCTTCTTACCATAAATACGTCAAACTCGTCCATTGCTCGGAATGGACACTCTATCATCTGATGAAGTGATAGTGCAAAGCATAGAGTTGAGAAGGAGCGTTCCCCACCTAATTAATATAGCAGCGACAAGCCAACAACAGTAAGGAAGCTTTAGGAATCATACTCTTGCTTGCACTGCTACATTGGGTACATTCTGATAAATAGTTTTGAGCTACGTCTATTCAATGGGAAGAGAAATAGAAACCCTATCAAGAAGGAAGATTGTAAAGCATGCCTATCCCAGGTCTTGGCCCGGCACTAATAAAAGATTAGAAGGATGAATTTGCAACAGCGGTTAGATGCTAAAACCCTGCGAAGCATGCAGGAAATAAACTAGTATAGAGAGAACCTGAAAGTCCTCTTGTATCACGGACTGAGCTATTTGATGCATCTTGGGGCATTTTCACCTTAACCACGCAAAAAAAAAAAAAAAAAAAAAGACATTAAAGCGGTAAAGAATTCAGCATTATAGACAGAAGTAAAAGGCAGGAAATCACACATCGGTTAGTCTACAAATTGTGTAGATGTGCAACGTTTTATGGAAAAAAGTGCTTACCTCCACTCCAAGGCTTTTTTCCTCATAATCAATTTTGATGTTCCCACTTATACCTTTGTTTCCCAAATGACCATTGAAACTGAAAGAGCAAAGACAAATGAATATTATCAATTATAGTTTCAGAGCAGACGCTGCAGAATCAGCACTAACACAAGTGAAGAAACGTACTTCCAAGTTAATTCACGCCTTGCGTTATTTGTATTGCTCTCGAACTTTTGCCACCGCAAGTCTAATGCTTTCACACAGACCTACAAATAAAATGGTATAGAAAATTATAGATAAGCGAAACCATTATGAAGAACGGTAACGCAGACAAATAGGTGAAGGGAATATATATTCACATAAAGAAACCAAATTGGGATGTATAGCATACCTCCAATTTTTCTCTGAATGTTTTACACCATTGTCTTCTCTTTTGAATTTTATTCTCTTTTTGCTCATACATTATTCTCAGATCATCAATAGATTCTGAAAACCTGCCACAATAAGTGTGTAAGACCTTTTCACTTTATTTCACTAAAGGGATATAATGTTGGCAAACACGGAATATAACACGTACTGCTGACTCTCATTGTGAAGCCTCTTCTTCAGTCTACTTAAATGGGCACTAAGTTGCTCTGGGCTGCTGCGCTCTGATGATCCTCCTAAATTTTCAATTTCACTCTCAGGACATATGATGGAAGCCTTCCTGCATCTTTCCTGAAATCAAACACTGCAAATAAGCTCTACAGTTGATAAAACAGTTGCTTTAAATTAACTTTTAATAGTCGTTGCATCCACCAAAGAGAGGTCGAGAGTAACACGTTTTCAGCATAAACATTATGATCTCAGAAATGCCAGTGCCGTAAGCAATTCTTTTCAGGTACATGTATAGCAGATAAAATTCTTGAAGACACTAAGTCTTGTCACAGAAAACATGGCAGGGCACAGAATTGGATAACAGAAGATGGATATGTAACACTTCAAACGAGTAAGCATGAGCCACTGGAACCATGCTGAACTGACTTCCTACTTTCCCACAGATCTATTAGTCCATTTAAACACCGAGCAGAAATCTAACAATCCATGATACTGTTAGCTCAAAGATCATGGAATCTTGCCATCTTTAGTTTCAAACACGCACCAATTTGGCAATCAAGCAAAAAGAAAAATTATGGAATGTGATCAATAAGAAGATATGATCATTAGAGGCTATAAATTGAAAACCAAGAATATAAGAGCAAACACGTTGGAGGGCTGTTCAGAAAGGAAAACAAGCTTTGGGGATCTCAATGTGATGTGGTAATATGACATTTGAAAATTTACCTTCCGCTCATCTTCAAGCTTCCCATGCTTTTCCTTTGCACTTTCTATGTCGACAAGGACCTTAGTAGCCATTATACGCTCATAATACGCTTTTTGCTGAGATGAGAAATTGATACTTTAATTAGATAACAGAAAGAGTAAGTTTGAAAGCGGGGAATTAAGCAACGCCAAGGGGTTGAGATAGCGGTAATGGATGTATAAAAACATCCAACCAACCGACGTTCAAAACAGAGGGCCAAAGTCACCTATGGGCTAAAAATCAAAAAGAGAGAAAGTTGTGGATCAAGAAATAGACAGAGCTCAAAGGAAAATACCGTCTCGGCACTCTTCCGATCTGTCTCAATCTTCATCAGCTCAGTCTCAGCATCCTCCAGGGTCTCGAAGTCTTGTTTTGCTGAATCTACAGTTTTCCAATTAAGGCAACGGGAAATCAATGGTAGGGCGATCTCTTTCCTAAAAGAGAAATCCACCAACACTAGTCCTACCACATAAACTCTGAAATGACATCTTCAGAGCCGTAACTTTTTCTTCAGCTTTTTCAATTCCAACCTCGAGCTTCTCTAGAGTATCCTGTTTGTGTTTTATATCTTCTTCTATCCTCTGCGCAAGTCATGAGAAAAAGATGCAGTTAAGTTAGAGAAGGAATTCCAGTAAAAACTACATGGAAATTAGCAATTCCGTAGATAAGCATCCAGAAGAAAAAGTAGCATCAGAAACTTGGAACAAACAGAAATTTCTTCACGAAGTTCATCCAAAGTTGACGTTGGCAGCGACATGCTTGCATTGTCAATTGATCGCTCCAAATCCTGCAGCTCTAGTTCCATAGATGCCACCTTCCGCTCAGCATCCGAGCGTTTCTTCTACAATCGGTTAAAAAATACAGCATATAATTTCAAATACAGAAGCACAAACAAAGGCCAAATTTCCAGTTAAAATAAGGGAGATGCTCAAAGGCAATGCAAGACTATGTGGGCTAAAACAGAACTACAATCCACATCTATCACAAATAAAATGAAGGACATGTGAAATAGCAAAATCCTTGCAGAATAAGACAGGTTTAACAACAGTATGACATAGGACATAGCCAGGCATTATCTACCCAAAATATGCATCTACGTAACCATGATAGCGTTCAGCACGTGCAAACATTGAGCTGAAGAGTGCCTGCCATTCTTCAGTTAAGCCCCAGAAACGGAGGAACACAGGATGATTGGGAAGTTCTTAAGCTAATTGATAGGTGAAGTTATCACCTTTGCTAACCGCAGTGTTTCTCCAAGACTTCGAAGAGTTCCCTCAGAGTCCTGCTTCTTCCGTCTTAAATGTTCAGTTTCTTTAGCAAGAACATGGACCTGTTGCTCATGATCACTGATTTGATCATCAAATGAACCGCACAGACGGTTTGCTCTAAGCCACTTAGATGGCGGAAGCACTGTCTCCACTGACTCACGACAGAACCTAACAAAAAACTCAAGTCACAAGGCAAACACCAACAGTAAATTGGAAGCACTATCTCCAATTTACTTCTTTTATACGAAATTATGGACACCATCCATAGTTATTCTTTCCATATTTTATGAATAAGAATTAAGAAGTATGTTTGCCAGTTCAGATTAAGATTAAAAAAAAAATAAGACGAACGAAACACGGCTGCTGGCTTCTAAATCAAGGTAATATGAAATCCTGCCCACTTCTCTATATTACTTATCCAAGTCGTTTCACAAAATGAAAATACTTATCGAAGTGGGTTAGCAAGATTTGTATCTTTTACCACCTTCGTTAGGCCCTCTTAAGCAACTAAGCATTCCAGTCTAAATATCAAATAGGTATATATACGATGGCCAGCTGTTTACCACCTACAGTGACTACCGATGGCGGGGAATTACTCACTGCTCTGGACACCATGCCTTATGCACCCCCCAAAAATGTATATACACACTCACATTTTATATCCATCTGATGTGTAAACCTCATGCACATTTCGAGTTCTTTGTCCAAAAGCAACTTCCTTAGCGGTGTCATAGTCCTTGACAAGGACTTGCCTTTCTGCATTTCCCTGGAGAGAAACACAATAGATAAAAACATATGGCATTCTGGAAGCTAGCTGATATATTAAAATATGATGAATCGCTGATTACCAAATCTATCAGAACATTTAGCACTGTATCATAGCTGGATTGTATAACAGATAGAACAGTTGGGTGATGTGTTGTGGGAAGCTTGTCAGAAGGTATGTTTAACCTACAGCATAAGGTAAGATAAGAAGACAAGGATTTAGCTCAAACAGGAAACATGTGATCGCACAGGATCAGAAACCAATCAGGAACCAGAAAAATTAGGCATCTACACACCTTGGTCGTTCAAAGTCATATATGTAGATTTTCAGGTCACCATAATTTGCTTCTCTTGCACATTTTTTTAGAAGGAGAGAATCACTATGATTTGTCACAATGAACGCATTGAACAGCTTCCCAAGCGCATACTCAACAGCTAGAGCCCATCTATCAGCGTTTGCTAAGGCCTTTCAGAGTCAGACATCAAAGAATGTGTCATAACTTAGGTATGGAAAAGCAAAATGGCTGACCATGCAGTAAAGAAGAGCTACGAAATTAAAAATAGCAAATAGCTCCTGAAAAGTAATACATTAGAAACATAACCACTGAAAGATCACAGTCTACTAAATTTATTTTTTTCTTTTTCCGAAATTCCAAGCATCTGGCATTTCAGGGTACATCAGTTTCAACTTTCAAAGAACCAACATTCAAACAGATGGAGCTTGTGTATGTAATTATTAGAGACTGACAACTTACAATATTAGCGCCAATTGGACCTATTGGTGGCCTTTTAAATTGATGACGATGGTTTTCAATTGCACGCAGAAGTCGAAGGACTCTATCTCCTCCAAATGCTGTGACCTGAACCGATATGCAGATATTACAATGACAACTTACATAATTAAATCCACTTATGAAATACATCAATATCAAGACATGACAACATAAAGGATTGCTAAGATCTCACTGTTAAGCACATTAGATCACTAAGACTACAATGACCGGAGATACCTTGTTTTTTCTGTTCTTCTGAAGATCATTAATGGCTGAACGATGATTTTTTTCCTTTCTCTCGTTATCTGCAATCTACACAGACATAACTCAACTAGTTGGTTACAGAACAAACGTGCAGCTTAAGAAGTAAACTGGTGATGGCAACCACCAGTTCAAGACTTTCGCCCACGTACAAGCAATAAAGGAAGAGCTCTTTACTATTAATAGAATGAACACAGTTGTATCTCTTCTGCTAACAGACCGAGTCCCTCAATAATTTGATGCGACCATTATTTTGGGGGGGGGGGGGGGGGGGGGGGGGGGGGGGGGGGGGGGGGAGTTATGAGGATTTAACTACAAACCAATGTTAAGGGAAATAAGGCAGTTCATTGAAGCAACATTATTTTATGGTCCAGTTATTTAGTTGCAGAGGTTGGTACCTGTTTAGCAATCTCACTAATTTCACCTTGTATCTTATCCACGTAATCTGTTGATCCACGTTCCTCATTCTCTAACCTGGATTATCAGGGTTGCAAGTAGAATAAATAAATCTCTAAGCAGAGGTCATAGAGTGCTGATAACACAAGGGTCATATGAAATGGATCACCTCAAGAATGAGTCATTTGCATCATCTATTGCACGTTTAAGTTCCTTGACCTTTTCCTCCATTTCAGAATTTTCAGCCTGCGGTACAGAATACTTCAGAAGTGAATAACACTTACCAGTAAGACACAACGAGTAACCGTATTTAGCGTCGGAAGCAAACCAGATGCCAAAATGATCATCTATAGTACCACATTTCTAGTAACATCTCAGGCAAGTCATGACCAAAGTCCAAGACTAACGCATGTTAAGTAATAAATAAATGACATATGTCCTTCACCAAAGAGGCATGAATGAAACAAATAGTATGCCTCAGTTCTTGCAATTTTCAGGTTGCACAGTTGCCTAGTGAACTGTAAATCACGACTTGCTGGACCACGACAAATTGCACGTGACAAGAAACTTAATATTAAAACAAACAGAAATGGGGAAAACGACAAAAAAAAAACCTTCACTGTGTTTCTCATACGCAAAAACACATCGTTAGACACAATAATGAACAATCCAAGATGGGCATAAAGGGAAGAAAGAGAAACTCAACATAGGGCAGCAAACAAAACCTGTGTGTTTCTAAGATGCTGATCATTAATTTCCTCAATTTGCCGTTCCAATTCTTTTACTTGTTTCTCCTTGTCGTCAATCTGCTTAGTCGCACGCTTACGCTTTTCTTGTAATTCAACCTTCTCCTTTGTGGCCTAATTAACCAATTTCACATACAAATCAGTACATGTGGAGTTATTGCCCATACAACAAGAACCTAGCTAACAAACCTCCTGAGCAGACACAATCAACTTCATATAAAGAATCAGAGGATGTGATATTCTCATAGATACCACTAAACCACCTGAAAAAGCATACAAGATTGGAACTTAACGTACATGCATGAACACAAGGCATGCACTTAGGATCCAAAACCACCTTGTTTTGTCTATACTCATCATACTCAATCCGGAAGATACCAAATTTTACATGTCACAATTTTTCACACCACTAAAGGCATATGAATAATCCACCACCAACGAATTTAAAATTCTATGATTACTAATTCCATTAAGTACTTTTCATCTAATAGGGAATGAAAACTACCATGGAAATAGAGTCCTTGAATTCCTGCTGCTTACTCTTCACTTCCAATGTTTTATCCATCAGGCGAGCAATTTGACCTTTCTTCTTTGATGATTTTTCCTCCAAAGATTCCATCTTAGCCTTTGAATCAAACAAAGAGGACAAGCTCAGAAAATCTTACAGATGGCAGTTTCATAACATTCCAGCCAAGACAAAGCCAGATACAAGTGAAAGACAGGATAATGAATTAACAGCAAAGCAAAATCTAACAGCACTAAATAATGTCAGTCCCTTCAATCACTCACTAGTTCTTCATCTATCTTTTTTTGGCAAGCAGGAACACGTTGTTTGAGTTTCTCCATCATCGCAATGTGCTCCTGTTTTTGCTTGTCTACATCATAAACCCATGCCCATGCTAGCTTCTTAGTCAGAACCTCAACCTCCTGAGATATTTCTTCCAAATGCTCCATGTTACTAATTTTTCTCTGCAACTCTGCAAGTTCTTTCTCTACTGGTTTAATAGAAGCCTCGTCTTCCTCAACAGCTGCACTTACAGACCTCAGTCCTTCTGTGTTCCTTTGTAAGGTATCATTAACTTGCTGAAGAAGAGTAGCCTTGAAGAAAAACTGAACAAAAGAGAGTGATCATGGGAGCACTACAGACATTACTCAGGCCTTACCAGACCAGCAAAGAATACCAAAAAAGGAGAATAGAAAACAGAATAACCTTGAATTTGTCTTTCTTGTTCCCAGAATGCAGGAACTCCCTACTTTTGTCTTGACTCATCACGACACAAGGATTCTCTACATCAATCTGCACCATGTTCAATGCAATACCTAAGATTAGACACTTACGAAAATCAAAAGAATAGAAAGAATAGGAACCACCATCTCAGCATTCAAACAGAGTGCAAACAGCAACAATAGAACCTATAGCAGTCATTGTTACTTTTGGCGAAATAAACAAAGAGTATGAAGTAATTATCATGTTTCCGGTTCCTTTTCAGTTGATTGACATTTTAATGGCAGTTAATACAGCACCATGGTTCTAACACACAGTTGAAAGAATATAACGATGGACAGGACACAAAAGCAATGATCGGAAAACTCACATTAAAATGATCTATGAGTTCCTGAAGATCATCTTTCCGACCTGCAACTTTTCTTCCTATCATATATGCCAGAGACAAAAACAAGTTAGTTAAAAATTCTCCCAACCGGCAGAGGACAAAAGTGAAGTTCATCTTAAGTTTTTAATTTTATCCAGAGTAAGCCAGAGGTAAATCCCACAAAATATGCATGGAACTAAAACTAGTTGCCTAATACAGTAGATTGTGCTGGCTGAAACGAATATCTTGGTGGGGGAAAAAATATATATATATATAATCACAGAATAGTGTTAACATTACTGGGCTCTTTGACTTTAGTACTGAAGATTATAGGTTGAGTTACATTTGAAATTGCTGAATAGACAATTCCAGTGCACGAGACTACAGTTAGATCTTTCCACAAAAGTTCATGCCACTCAAACCATCAATGGATGATGTGACTTGCTTATGGGAGAGATCACCATGGCTCAAAGTTGCCAATGCATACAAATGCAAACTAATGATTTCATAACTATTTAGTCACTCAGTCCACACTACTTCAGTATTGAGAATGATAATTACCACATAATTCATCAAATCAAACTGGCTAGAGTGGGGGCAGAAGTTGTACTTGAGTTTCCACATATATTTAATCCTTCTGATGTAGCTCTTTGCTTCCCATGGGTGGAATAATATAGCGGAGCAATCATTCTCACGCATATGGCTCTTGTGAGCCAATTTTCTCAAACTAGGCCAGCTTATGCTGTGATTTAGCATTTGAAGCGACGTGTACTAGACGACTAGTAAAGGAAAACCCAGCAATAACCAATTAACATAATAGTAACATAGCTCGTTGGGTCCTAAGCATCCCCGAGCTTTGTTGAAGAAAGTAAAAAGACAATTTTAATTTTGCATTTTTAGTACATAAGGCCCGGACCTAATAACTGTAGTAATGCTTGCCAGAATATCCAGTGCACCTAGGTCCAAGCCTTGGCCGGGACTAAAATTCACCTAATATAAATAAATATAGTAAAGGAGCACAGACCTCGGTGATCCTTTAAAGTCATGGAGCCGCCCGACTGATTGATTCGACGCTCTAAAATTATGGAATTGCCATAGATATCATGCTTAAAGGCATCATGTCCTTCATTTTTTATTACCACTTCAACAGTAGCGTGACTGTAAAAGACAACAATGTCAGATATCAATCATGGAACTCCAACGTCAGGTATTGGTTTAAACAGGATAGAAGCTCAAACCTGCAACCAGTTTTGATGAAATCCTTCAGTGTGGACGCCCTCTGCGTCCCCTTAGCTCTGCTTCCGAAGGCTACGCAAATCGCTGTAAGTATTGCACTTTTACCACCTGAAAACGCCCAAAATCCCCAAAGACATTAACTCAGTCCAACACACATCGTTCTCCCCTAACAAGGATATAAAGCAAACACAAATCCACTTGAAGACACCATTTTTCCTATCAGTACAAAAGTTCGACAACCCTAATAAACTCATTGCAAAGTATTAGCCTCGAATTTCGTTTCACTGAGTCATTGAACTAACTACACCACAGAACAGAAACGGAACCCTAATAGCAACGATGCTAGTGATTCGAGCAACGAGTATACACACAGAGAGGCGCTGACGAGACAAAAGGGAGAAAAGAAGCCATACTCCCATTCTGGCCGGTGATGAAATTGACCCGCGGACCGAGCTCGATTTGAAGGTTACTGTGGCACATGAAATTCTCCAATCGGATCCTCTTGATTGTCCCCGCCCCGGATGGTGTGTGAGTGCCCGCCGGACCGGAGAAACCCCCGGATTCCTCCATCGTCGTGTGAAAATAACGAGCTTGCTCTTCGGACGGCGAAGCCCTAACGGAGAAGACGAGAAGGAGTGCGCTAGTTTCAAGGGAACTGAAACGGAAGTGGGGTTTTTGGCTGGGATGTGTGATAATGGCGGGAAACGGGGATTACTGTATGCACTCGGGAGTTACGTGGGGCTGTTGTTGATTTCGCATAAGTCATGCCGCCAAAATTATTCACCGCCGATTGGGCCTTCTTGCATATTGGTTAAAGTCAATCTGGGCTAGGCTCAAAATGTTGGATGTCTATTAAAGGCCCAATGTTATGGGTTCTTTGGATAGATCAATTGCCTAATTGTTTAATTTTACAAAATGAGTCATTTAAAACGAATCAATTCGAATTACATGTCTCATCCCAAACAATTACAATTGTTTCAAAATAAGTTAATTTGAAATTACTCAAGTCTAATAGCTTCATCCAAATTTTAAGCTTCCCAATAGGTCAATGTGGTCTAATTGTCCCGGATCACCACCCGAACCAGTAGAGCCACCAAACTAGTCACAATAGTAGTTCGGTTCATTTATTTGGACGGTTAGAGATGGAACAAACGTAATCCAGTATTTTAATGGTTTGGCATGAAATCTAATGAACTACCTCGATTTTATATGTCCAATAGTTCACTATTTTCAAACACCAAAAAATTAAGAAAAATTTATTTAGCGTAAACTAAAATCACCCAATTTGTCGAACAAACAAAAAATTCACCCAACTTGAACTACTAATTTTGTTTCTCCTTCCTTCTCTTCATTTTCCAACCTCTTTGTCGACGTTATGTGATCCACTATGGAATATCACCCTTATTACTAACTTGAATTTGACAAAAAAAATATGATTTCTTTTTTTAGATAGTTTGAATAATTTGTTAGAACTTTTTGTGATCAATAACATGGATTTGAAATTGTTTATGGTTAGTGATAAACTCATTCGTAAAATAATGTATCATATGTACCTTTTATGTTATAGTTCATGAACAGGTTTGTTGTTGTGACTTGAATCGGACTATCAGCCGCTACGACTGGAATAGTCAGGGGTCCAGGGGCAACGCCCCCCGGCCCGCGGTGTATGGGCTCAATGTTATTTGGGTTCGGGTTCTGGGCCTGGTCTGTAACCGTTTTCTTTGTGACTCGCTACGACACAACACCTAACAATGGCCAAGTGTAACCAATGGAGGGACTGCAGTATAGTGGCTCAAGTGATAAATATCGAATCCACGGGTCTCTAGAGTTACTATTACTCAGCTTCAGTTTCTTATTTAACAAACCAGATTAAGATGAAAGAACTAAAACTACTCTAGCAAACTACAGTTAAAGTTAATCTAATTACAGGTTGGGAACTCACTTAGGTATGATTCCCCCTAGCCACTAGACAGACTAATGATTGATGATTTCTAACTTGTTTCACTTTCATTCACAATGCGGAGAATCCTTGACTAGACCTTGAGTCTCGACTAAAGGAACAAGGCCCTCTTGAGTCAATTGCCTAGAGGGACATATCCTTCTCTAGAACAACTGATCAAGGCGTTCTGAACCAGACTCCCTCTATCGAAAGAGGTTCTCAATCGATAGAAAGCAGTGAATCAACCCTCGACTAAAGCAATCGATCCACTACTATCAATCTATGGTGCTCTATTGACCTAATCAGGTATTCCCTCTCATAGGATCAATGCAGAATCAATAATCTCGACTAAAGCAAAATTGAATCATGAAAACATGCATAGATTGAATATGAACTCAAGATTATCAAGTCAGAGTACTCATACAATCATCCAATCAAACAAACATAGCTAGGGTTCCTCAAAACCTAAGTGAAGGGAAGTTACTCCATAGAGAAGAGAGAGACTGCAGTAAGAATCTTCAGATGATCAGTCTTCAAGTCCGGGCTTGTTCCTCGAGCTTCCAAGGCAAAAAAATCCTCCAATTCTACTCCAAGAATCCCCTCAAATCGCCCTCTCTCTCTTTGGTTCGTCCCTTGGGTGTTTGGGATCCAAAACCCAGCTCTCCCTCTCCTTTGGCTCGAATTTGGGTTAAAAAACCCGATTCTGGGCAAAACACGGTCGAGGGCACGGCCGTGCTTTGGTTTTGCCCGCCCGTGTTTTGCCCCGTGTTAAAAACCCTCCCGCGCGCGTCGGCCAAAACACGGTCGTGCCTAAATATGGGCACGGCCGTGTTTTGATTTAGGCGCGCCCGTGTTTTTACTGCCGAACTTGTTCCCCTATATTCAATGCTTCGTTTCTCCCTCGTCCGGACTTCGAATCAGTCGCCGTTTGATCCCACACGCTCGTAGTCTTGTCCTCTTTCTTTTCATGACAAGCTTGCATGATTCTTTGTCCATAAAGTGAGGTAGAAATCCATTCTTCTTCAGGTCATGCCCGAGTTTCTTCTCCCTAATCGCCAATTGATCTCTGATTGACTTGAAACTTGCGCCTATGCTTCACTTTATGTGCTAGGACCTGAAATGTGACAAAGGAACACAACCTAGCGTAAAATAGGCCAAAGACGCGATAATTAAATCTCAAACGATCAAGAAACAAAGGGGAAAACATGTGCAAATATCGAGTCATCACTTTGCCATATTGGATTAGGTTTAGATCCACATGGAGAAGTATAATTACTTCTCATCTCCTCTGTAATCTACTCGATATAGTGAAACTGGGTCTCTCTCGCCCGTGGACTAGCTAACACACATCGTGTTAGTGAACCACGTAAATCATGTGTCGTGTTTTCGATTCTCGCTTTCGTATTCTTGCTTTCTCGATCCTAGCGATTTCCTGATCCATAGCAGCGCGTTTATAACAAGTGGTATCAGAGCTGCGGCTGGAAATCAGGCTAGTGTTTTCGATTCAGAAGAATGACGTCGGTGAACATAAAGATCGAAAATTTCACGGGGACGAACAGCTTCGCTATATGGCAGATCAAGATGTAGGCTTTATTGAAACAGCAAAGGCTGTGGGGGCCGCTGTCTGCAAAACGGAAGAAGGCAGCGGTCGATGACGATGAGTGGAGTACCCTGGAGGAGAAGACCCACTCGACCATCATGCTATCGCTGTCTGATGACGTCATCATTGAAGTCACTGTTGAGAAGACTGTCGCTGGCTTGTGGTTAAAGTTGGAGAGTCTGTATATGACGAAGTCCTTAACCAACAAGCTGCATCTCAAGCAACGGTTGTTCAACTTGAGGATGCAAGAAGGTACGCCTTAGAGGGATCATCTGGAGCCAACTTAATTCTATTTTGCTTGACTTACGCAATATGATGTTAAGGTTGACGATAAAGATGTTGCCCTAATGCTGCTTGTGTCTTTGTCGAGTTTATATGAGAATTTCGTGGATTATTTTATTGTTGGTAAAGATAGCTTATCGTTGGAGGATGCCAGATCTGCTCTTCACACAAGAGAGATCAGGCATAAGGCGTCTGGTTCTGGTATAGGTGGTGAAGCATCGGGTTTGGCTGTTACAGGTGGAAAGGGAAAGAAGAAATCTGGTAAAGGGAATTCGAACAGGAATTCCAAGGGTCCCAGTCCACAACCAGGTGATGCTTGTCACAACTATAAGGAAGTGGGGCATTGGAAGTATAATTGTCCCAGGAGAAGAGGGCAACAGAAGAACCACGGTTCAGTTGCCGTGGCAGAAGTGGACAACAGTTCTGAAGACGATCTCGCATTGGCTGTAGATGATAAGGCACATTGTGGTGATGTGTGGTTTCTGTATACTGCAACCTCGTACCATATGTCTCAGAACAGGGATTGCTTCACAACCTACGAGCAGATAGATGGTGGTAACGTGGTCATGGCTAATGGAGCTGTCTGCAAGGTTGCTGGAATCGGGTCCATAAAGGTTCAGACACATGATGGTTTGTTTTGTACTGTGAATGATGTCAGGCATGTTCCACGAATGACAAAGATCCTGATCTCCTTGAGTCTACTCCAGGGATGGCAATTTTGACCTGGCCCGTTTTACCCGACCTGTTTGACTTATTTTGGGGCGGGGCGGGGTGGGCATGGGTACTCACATCGACCCGACCTGCCCTGACCCGCCCCATTCTACCCGTTCTTGCCTAAATTACATGTAATCGTAGTCAAATTATTTAGAATTTCCCTTTTATTACATCATATTTTAGCTATAACAAAGTTGTAAATTAGTGAAAACCTCAATTTCTCCAATAATTTGACTACATTTATCACAATATGATTTGTATTCTTGGTCTTATAATGAAATCAACAATATTTCTAATGTTTTCCATATAAATTGTATACCAATTGGAACGACCTACCCCGACCCGCGACCCATGATAAATTACCCGACTTGAACCTGACCTGCCACGGGACGGGTGTGGGTATAATGATACCCGCCCCGAACCTGCCCCATTGTCATTCCTAGTCTACTCGACAACAAGGGTTTCAGCTTCAAAGGAAAAGGTGGCGTTGTATGTCTGCAAAGGTTCAATGAAGGTGCTCAAAGGCGTGAAGCGTGGAACCTTGTATGCATTACAAGGGTCTGTGTTGTCTGGTTCTGCTGCAGTTGCATCATCTCAGGTTCATCAGGAAGATATGTCCAATCTCTGACACATGAGACTGGGGCATATGAGTGAACGAGGGATGCAAGTTCTGTCGAAGAGGGATCTTCTTTGCGGGCACAAGGTGCAGAATTTGGAATTCTGTGAGCATTGTGTCTTTGGGAAGCTACATCGCGGCAAGTTTCCCAAGAAGGGTATCCACTGGACGAAGGGGATACTGGATTACCTCCACCAGTGGCGGACCCAGTAATTTTTCATAGAGGTGTCCTCTTTTAAAAAATAGATTTAATAATTAATAAAATAAAATTATAAATAAGAAAATACCTTAATCGTATATGGTAAAAAATTCCATTATGTATTTTCATATACTCAAATAATTGTAGAATACACTTGGTATCTAATTTGTTAAAAAAATTGTCTCTATATACCCTACTAGACAATCATTCACGAACTTATCGCATATTCGATTTGTAAACTTGTTCTTGATGTAACCCAAAGCTGAACGACTATTTCAACACTTGTCGTACAACCATAAAATCAATACAGATTAAGAGTAGGTTGAAATTAGTTTAATAGCTAGGTTTTGAAAATAATTAGAGATAGGGAATGCCATTTTACTATGATGCAGTGTTCAAAATTGAACAACAAATGAGTTGTAATTTAATGGAAATTAAGTTTATTAATAATAATTGTGCTCTAGGTTTGAATTACCTAACCTACCACTTCAAGCCTATTCCGGGTTGGATCCAGTCCTTAAGCCTCATTGTTTAAGGAGGTTCTTAAACCATTTTTATTGGCTGATACTAGATTAGGTAGTTAATAGTTAGTTGGAATAAATAAGATATTATGAAAATATAATTAATATTACTCATTAATGATTCTCTTTCTCTCTCCCCCTTGATCTTCTCCACAACCCTCTCTTTCCACTACAATCAAAAGGAAATTCGAATTAATTTAATTAAATATTATTATTTAATATTTAATAAATTCGAACTTAATATTTTTTATTTTTTAAAATGAAAATTGAAATTAAAAATATATGCTCTCTCTCACTTCGTGGCAACTTGCAATACAGTATTAACATTTTGCAATGACATTATCAACATTTATGAAATGAATCATTATTATTATATCTCATCATTATTAACGACTTCAATATACTTATCAATTCCTTACAATTACAATTTTGGATCATCAACGCCTATGAATGAATTGTTACTGTTTTGGATCAATTTTGGATCATTATTAACAATTTTGGATCAATTGTTACTGTTTTATAGTTTCGTCATCAACGCTTATGAATGAATCATTAAAGTTATGTAACATAGTCATTAATAGTTTGAATAACAATATCATTGATTTACAACATCTTTAGTACTAATGATTCACATTTTCACATCATGTTTATAACTATCTAGTCATGAAGAAGAAAAGAAGGTCATTGGAAGGATGCTCTGTTCGCTCAACTCTGCGCACTCTCCTCCGGCGACCAACGCAGCCTAGACAGGACGGCCACCGGACGATCCAGATCTAGGCAGCACGCTGCTGTCGCAAGCGGGGGGGGGGGGGGGGGGGGGACACATCGGCGACCGCTCACCCTGACACAGAGAATACTGCTGATATGCAAGTTGACCTAATCCAGACGGCTGCTACCCAGACGCTGGCGCCGCCGACAATGGAGACCAATGCTGCTCCGGTCACGGATACAGAGAAATCTCAGTTTTCAAACGGGAACATGGATGGAGGTAACCCTACTATCAGATCTAAATCTCCTCAGCCGATCTCCTATGCCGGTGCTGTCATGGGGGGTTCCAATCCACCAAAGCCTTCTATGGCACAATGGGTTCCTGTAGGCGAACACGATATGATCACAAGGTTCTTTCAGGGTGAACCTGAATTGAGAATCTCAGATAAATTCAAATCCCAACTCAGCAAGCCCTGGCAGCGAACCCTTGTTGTGCGCCTCCTAGGAAGAACAATTGGGTATGCTACTCTCTGCAACAGGATCCACTCTCTTTGGAGGCCAACCAGTGTGATGGAAGTTTTTGCGTTGAATGATGATTGTTATCTGGTGAAACTCGGAAATGATCAAGATTATTTCAAAGCACTCACTGAGGGGCCCTGGACTATTTTCGATCACTATCTTTTGGTGCAACAATGGACGCCCGGATTTCGGGTTACGGACAACCTGCCGAAGACCATGGTAGTTTGGGTTCAGCTCCCAGGGTTTCCGGTACATTTCTATCACAAGAAATTATTGTTTACGCTAGGCAACCTAATCGGGGGAACCATTAAGCTGGATTATCATACTGAGCACCAGCAGCGGGCCAAGTTTGGTCGTATGGCAGTGGAAGTCGATTTATCGAAACCGTTGGTTCCGAGGATCAGAGTGGATGGACGATGGTAAAAGGTCGAGTTTGAAAATCTGCCGGTTGTCTGCTTTGAGTGTGGGAAAGTTGGCCATTCGAAGATAGCTTGCCCAAACATCAGCCGGGGCCAGGAAGGCACTGCAGTGAACGGGGGACAGTCATCGACGTTGGTCGTGGCCGGAGAAACCTCACCGGAAGTCAATGCCAGCTATGGGCCGTGGATGATATAGTGGCGCAGAAATCACGGCGTAACCCTAGAGACTCAACCAAAATGGGAAAGTTGGAGCAAGACTCGGCAATTAGCAACGGGATGAAAAAAGGAGATGAAAGGAAAGAAGCCAAGATTTTAGGGAGATCTCCTTCGCAGAAAAATCCGAAGACTCAGCCAAAACAGCGAAAACAAACAAGGGAAACTGAAACGATGGGGACGGAGAGAACTGGGAAAGGGGACAAGAAAGGGAAAGGAAAAGCGACGGTTCAGATAAATATTTTGGAATAAGGGATTTTGGGGCCGAGGCCCACGGCGGGGGAGGCCTCGACCAGTAAGCCCATTCAAGAAGCTACCATCCCTCTTGGCCCATCTTCGACAGCTAATGGGTCTCAGCCTGCAACGGCCTCCCCAATTAGCCATGTTAAGGCCCCCGAGCCGATAAACCAAACCGGGTTAATCACCCATACTATCTCGGGTGCGAATGGGACCAAAATCCAGATAGTTGAAGTTCAACCCTATAAGTCGATTCCTCCTCGAATCACCGATCCAGAAGCTCCATCGGTGGTGGCTAGGATGAAGACTAAGAAGGAAGGAAAAGGAGGGAAAAGCAATCGCTCATCTACGCCCAAGAAGGGGACTCCGATCCACAATAACCCTCTCAAGCCATTACAAATATGGTCCCCTGTGAAAGAGAAAAAGGGGCGGAGCAAGGAGAAATGAGTCTCCCTCACACTGCAACAAATTCAGGAATGGACTGAGATGTCTAAGATAGGAGCGTCAGCGGAACCCGCCCTGGGAACCGTCGCGGAGGCAGACAAGACGAGCATGGAAGTGATCCGGAAGGATGGCGATTCGCCTGTCTTGCCTTGATAACTTCTGGTGCCCTCGATTCCTTTCCGCGTTTGCAGTCTCCTCTCCCCCTTTCTTTTTTGTTATGTTTTAATGTCTGTCAATTACAATTCTGGTTTCAAAATTTTTTCTTGGAATGTTGGTGGAGCTAGAAGCAATGCCTTCTCTCGCTCTCTGAGGCTTGCGCTTCAGCTCCATAGACCTGATTTTGTTATTCTTCTTGAACCACAAATCAGTGGTGAAGTTGCTAACAAAGTCTGTGAGAAGCTGGGCTACCCCGATGTAATTCAAGTCGAGGCGAATGGCAGGAGTGGCGGGATTTGGTTATTTTGGAATGCAAAGAATTTTGGTATTTCGATTGATTCTGCAGGTTCACAACACCTCACGCTCTCGGTCCTGAAGGATAACAACAGGCGGTGGAAGCTAACGGCGATGTATGCTTCACCTCGACAGCAATTTCAAAAGCTTCTCTGGAAGTGTCTCATCGAAGAAAGCAAGAATATTGAGTACCCATGGGTCCTCACTGGCGATTTCAACGCCATTCTCTCACCGTTCGAGACCACGGGGCAAACCACTACAAGAACGTTGAGACGCTGCAAGAGGTTTGGAGACTGGATTAATGAGGCAGAGTTAGTAGATCTTGGGTTCTCAGGACCGAATCAGACCTGGTGTAGAGGCGGGCAGGTGCAGACCTATAGAGCGAGTCGTTTAGACAGGAGCTTGTGCAACATGGAGTGGAATAAGGTTTTCCCCAACACGACAGTGGTGCACTTGGCGAGACTAAGCTCTGATCATAACCCGATTCTGACGACCGTTCCGACTCAGGGAGCTACTCATCCTTCCTCTAAGCATTTCAATTTTGAAGCAGCTTGGTTAACCCATGCTGATTTTCAAAAGTTTCTCAATGATAATTGGAATGGGCAGAACCTTAACTTACCTTCGGCTTTGCAGGAATTCTCGGACAGGCTGCAGTCTTGGAGCAAGCTAGTCTTTGGGAGTGTTTTTCAGCGCAAGAAACGGCTAGTGGCAAGGATTGAAGGGATAGAAAGGAAGCTGGCGCTCTCGTTCCATCCGGGGCTGGCCAAGCTTCATACCAAACTCGCGGCAGAGCTGGAAAAAACAATGGAGCATGAGGAATTGTATTGGTTTCAAAGGGCTCGGGAAAGCTGGGTGAAGTACAGCGAGAGGAACACGACTTACTTTCATCAGATCGCTAATATTCGACGCCGGCTGAACATAATTGAATGCCTAAAAAATGTTGATGGAGAGTGGATTCGGGACATACAGAAGCTCGCAAAGCTCGTGTTTGATTTCTTCTCTAATCTCTACTTGCAGTAGGCATCTCAGTACATTGATCTAATGCCCAAAGGAGCCTTTCCTCGGCTTAGGCAAGAGGAGTGGCTATGCTTGTTGCGACCTTTCTCCATTATGGGCATCCATCAGGCTATTTTTTATATGAAACCTATGCAGGCTCCGGGACCTGACGGTTTTCAAGCGGTGTTCTACCAACAGGCTTGGAGGGTGGTTGGGAAAGATCTCACAAATATGGCTTTATCTTTTTTTTCGAAACTGGGAGTTTGCCAGCGGCCGTTTCAGAGTCGACTGTTGTTCTCGTACCTAAAGTGGAGAAGCCAGAGTTAGTGTCCCAACTACGCCCCATCTCCATGAACAATGTGAGTTTGAAGGCTATTACTAAGGCAATGACAAGCAGGCTGAAAGCTATCATGAGAAAGCTCGTCTCCCCACGCCAGAGTAGTTTAATTCCGGGCCGGCAAACTGCTGATAACATTTTGGTGGTTCAAGAGGTTCTCCACTCGTTGAGGAAGAAGCAGGGGAAGAAGGGTGGCATGGTGATCAAGATCGATTTGGAAAAGGCTTATGACAGACTCCGGTGGGATTTCTTAAGAGACACACTGGTTGAAGTTGGTTTGCCTAGTACATGGATCCAGTGCATCATGTTCTGCGTGGAGCAGAATCGAATGAGGATTCTGTGGGATGGCGAGCTATCCCAACCCATTACGCCCACGAGGGGAGTTAGACAGGGAGACCCTCTTTCTTCTTATCTTTTCGTTCTTTGTATGGAGCGTCTTTCTCATAGAATTGATCAGGCTGTCCGCGAGAAGCTTTGGAAACCCCTGAGCATCTCGCACGGCGGGTCGACACTCACTCACCTTTTCTTTGCCGATGATCTGATTCTGTTTGCAGGGGCTGAGGGATCACAGGTGCGGATCGTACAACAGTGTCTTGACGAGTTCTGTGAGAGCTCTGGTCAGAAAGTGAGAAGGCTTGGACATTCTCCGGCCCTGTCAGGGAAGTTCTTTTGCTTGGACTAGTTTCAATAAAGCGGCTAATCTTCTGAGGAAAGGTTGTGCTTGGAATATCCCCAATGGAAAAAGCACTAAGTTCTGGTTGGATAATTGTATTTTGCAGGAACCCATTATTGACAAATCTACGGGTCATGTCCCTAAGGAGGAGCGGGTAAGGACGATCTCCTCTTACCTGAATGCAGATGGGAGTTGGGACATCAATCATCTCTCCCAGTGGCTCCCAGTGGAGCTAATCCAGAAGATTACCTCGGTGATGGTGGACCCGGTTTCCCCCGAAGTTGATAGGATCTTCTGGACGCCTTCAGCGGATGGACGCTTATCGGTTAAGACGACGTATCAGCTCCTGCAGCCGGCGTCGTTGGAGCCCAGTGATCTAGTGTGGAAATGCATATGGAAGCTTCCAAAGCCGGAACGGGTGAAATGCTTTGCGTGGTTAGTTTCCCTTGGACGGATTGCTACCAATGCTTTGCGTTTTTGCAGGAAGTGCACCGACTCTCCGGCATGCTATCGGTGTAATGACAGGCCGGAGACAATTCTCCACGTGCTTCGCGATTGCCCGCCGGCGCGTTTCTGCTGGTCACGATGGGTTCCTCTAGACAGACAACATGAGTTTTTCGAGCGCGATGAGGACAACTGGATTCGCAGTAACCTGAGTAACGAGGACACTATGGATAATGGCATGAGCTGGCAGGGATTTTTCAGCGTGGCTATTTGGCTGATTTGGAAAAACAGGTGTACAACTTGCTTTAGTGGACCTAACAAAGCTTTCTCATCTCCGACGTTGGCGCACTCAATCAAGCATAAATCCATCATGTGGCACAAAGCATGGGCTGCACCGACCTTAACTCCAGGCAGGCCGAGTGCGAGTATGGGGAGAATCACAGAGCATGTCAGGTGGTATCCTCCTTCTGCAGGTTGGCGCAAGCTGAATATTGATGGAGCTTCGGCAGGTAACCCCGGCATGGCGGGCGCTGGTGGGGTGATTAGAGACGAGCACGGGAGATGGATTGCAGGCTTTGTTGCGAAGATTGGTGAAGCGACAGCTGCCCAAGCGGAGTTGTGGGCGTTCTACCATGGCCTGAACCTCGCTTGGAAGATGGGGTGCGACAATATTGTGATTTAGTCCGACTCTCAGCTGGCCATCCAGCTGATAAACAACCGGCGGGACCCTGTTCACCCATATGCTTATTTGCTTGATGCTATTCGGAGGAGGATTGCTCAAAACTGGCTAGTTAGAATAGTTCATACTTATCGTGAAGGGAATAGAGCCGCGGACTGGCTCTCGAAGTACAGTCTCGTCTATCCCTACGGTATGCATGAACTCTCTAATCCACCTAGAGAGATAGGTCAGATCCTTCGGGATGATTTTATGGGTGTTTCTTTCGAGCGCCAAGTGATGGCGCCTCCTGATCTGTAATCCCTCCCTTTCTTGGCTTCGGCCTCCTTGAATGCAAAAAAAAAAAAAAAAATCTAGTCATGGCCTCTTCCAATGATTTCTAATGACATTATTAACGTTTTATGATCTATTAATATTGCTTTACATTATCATTCTCGATGATCATAAAGCACAATACTAATTTTCAACATCTTGGGTACTTGTGACATAGTGCACCTGTGTGATTCCGTCAAACAAACATTGTCCAGAAAAATATTAGCTCAAGCAAACCAACATTCACGCCTCAACACCAAACTTTTAATAACAATACAATAAATCATTGATAACGAAAAGTATTTCGTTGAAAATAAACACAAAACGTCAATGGAAAAATGTCCGACTTCAACATTATAAATGACATCAAACTTTTAATAAAGATATTAAAAACCATTAATATCGAATGATCAAGTCACTGATAAGGAAATAGATTTTTGTAATATAAAAATAATAATAATATTCAGATGCAATGTTTAATGTCAAATATCACTAAAAACGCATTAATAAGTAACATGTGTTTAATGGATAATGCATCCTAAAACTTTGATAATGATAGCAACTAATGATTGTTAAGTACCTTATTAGATATTATTAATATCTTATTTTCAAACATTGATAATGCTTATACCCGCCTATTAATAATGACACCAAACTACGTTACTAACTTAGACTGAAAGATTAATAACCATAGTTATATCATTAAACGTTAAATTCACTTTTGATAATGCCATAAACAAACGAATATCTAACAAGTATGCTTCTTGATAATGACATTTGACAAAGTTACATACATAAACGAAAAAATATTAATAATTCAAATCACTAAACATAAGCAATCTTACAAATGAATTAAATTTTTGCTAATGGTTGTATTGTGCTTGGAAAAAAATATTGATAATAGCACTTCAAATGATTATAAATCATTGCTAACCAAATTGATAATACGATGTAATAGTAAATAAACTTCAAGTACCAACAAATTGAAAACACAATTTCACTTTTACTAATGTTACAAACAAAACATAACATAAAAAGTTAATAATGTCATATAAAATTATTAAAAAACATGTCGAACAACATTAATAATAACACAAACGAATACCTAACAACGAAAAATCTCAAACTCATGCAATGAAAAGCCCTAATGATGATTCAATTTATAAATATTGATAATGTCATTACAAAATGTTAATACTTAATACTAATCGGAAGTTGCCAAGATGTGAGAGAGACATATATTTTAAATTTCAAATTTCCATTTTAGAAAAAGAAAATTATTAAATTCGGATTTTATTAAATATTAAATAAAATGAATTTCATATTTCTTTTTAATTATAATGTAGAGAGAGGGTTATGGAGAAAATCACGGGAGGAGAGAGAAAGAGAATCATTAATTAATTATATTAATTTTAATTATATTTGCATAACCTACCTATTAACTACTAACTACCATTAACTACCTAATCCACTATCAACCAATATGAAGGCTTTAAGATTTTCCTTAAGAAATGAGGCTTAAGGACTTGAACTCAAGCCTATTCACATACACAAATTTAAAAAATGACGGTAGAATAATCATTTTTTCAAATTGCAGTGGTGTCCCTCACTATCAATTATAATTTTTTAATGCATACGTAAATTACTACCGTAGGTTGAATAATCGTTTTTCCAAAATTTAGGGGTGTCCCGGGACACCCCTAAAGCTCCGTGCGTCCGCCCCTGACCTCCACTCCGTCTGTTGGGGTCCTTCACGAGTTGAAACCATTAGAGGCAACATGTATTTTCTGTCTATTATTGATGATTATTCGAGATTTACTTGGATTTTCATGATGAAGTAGAAAAGTGAGGCTTTCACGAAGTTCAAGCAGTGGAAGACATTGGTGAAGAATCAGACCGGAAAAAAGATCAAAAAGCTGCGAACGGACAATGGTTTGGAGTTCTGCAATTCCGAGTTCAACGAATTCTGCAAGGATGAAGGGATTACCCGTCATCGAACCGTTAGAGATACACCCCAGCAGAATGGTGTTGCAGAAAGGATGAACTAGACATTGTTGGAGAGAGCACAGAGAATGCTCTCTAATGCTGGACTAGAGAGAAGATTATGGGCAGAAGTAGTGAACATGGCGTGCTTCCTGATCAGTTGTGGACCTCACACTGGTATCGAGTGTAAGACTCTTTATGAAGTGTGGTATGGTAAGCCTGCTGATTACTCTTCACTGAAAGTTTTTGGGTGTCCTATTTATTATCATGTGGATGAGGGTAAGCTGAACCCACGGAGATGGAGTTAAGCTATTTTGAGTCTGTTCACCTTTTGAGCATCGAGTTATACTCAGTAGAAATGTGATATTTGATGAGAAGTCTATGTTTAACCCCATGTTGAAGGTTATTGTTGTTGAAGGTAGCAAGAATGTTGATAAACAGGTGGACCTGCAAACTCTCAAAGAGAGTGAGTTTGAGCATCAAGGTGGAGAAGATCAACATGATGAAGATGTCTCTGCAGAGCCAAAAACTTCAGAGTCCAATGCACGAGTCAACAGTCTATGGCTTCCGGTAGACCGAAGAGAGTGACTGCAGGAGTA